ATAATCTACTACCACTACAGGCTTAAAGATTGGACAATCGCTTCTTCCTAATTTATACAACATGACTCCAAGTTATTTACAATTCATTTATTACATCTTTTATAAAACTACCAACTTGTAACTTATAGAAATAGAATTATTAAGATCTATTATAGCTCTAACAAAAAGCTTATTTAAATATAGTATGATTATTGAACAAGATCCACCAAAAAAATGTAGAAAGCTTGAGCTAAAGTATAGTCTAAATAAATATGAGAATTTAAATTTTATATTATTAAATTCTTCTTCTTCAAACTCATTGTGTTCGATGTAAGAAGATATCTAAAACTGAGTTATGGCATGTGATAGAGTTGATATAGTAATTTTCAATTATGGCTTTTTTATTTTTTAATATTGATTATATATTAAGTAGTAAATTTAAAATATTATATTCTAAAAATTGAAATATAAAATTTCATTCATTGAATTTTTAACAAGGCTCAAATTTCTATTTTTTGATGACTAACTCAATTTTGCTACATATTGTATATAAGATACTGCCAATGATACTAAAAATAATCCTATAATAATTACAACTTACCTCCTATTTAACATATTTTTCTAAAAAAAATATTCTAATTAAAAATATTATTTAATTAAGTAATTTAAAAATATATTGATTTATTTTTAAAAAACTAAAATAAGAGCAATATGAGGTGGATAGAGAATGTGGTGATAGTAAGAAGAAAAAAAAATAATTAAAAATATTATTTAATTAATTAATTTAAAAAATATTGATTGATTTTTAAAAACTAAAATAAAAGTAATATGAGGTGGATAGAGAATGTGGTGATAGTAACAAAAATTGTAGTAGTAATATAATATTATATATATATATATATATATATATATATATATATTATTTGTTCCTTATAACAATCATAATCAAATCAAAAAAGATAAGAGCATCTATCTAACAGAGTATTTTTTGATGCAACCTATCAATCTCTTCCATTGCAATCAACTTGCTCTATGTACTCATCAATGGACATTGCCTTTGCAAATGGAGGATGCAAAGGCTGCATTTGTCAAAATATTAGGAAAGATTTGATGATGAAATTGAGTTAGCATGGCTTATGAGCAGTATTTTGGAAATGGCCCTAAAGACCAAAAATTAATTAGAAATAAGTATACTTGTATGTTATTAAAGGAGATTTTTAATATTTACTTTTTTTTCTTATAAAATCAATAAAACATGATATCAAATAAAAATTACTATTGATTCATAAGTCATTTTATTAATTTTTGACATTAAAGAGTTTAATTCTTAATTACATTAGGTTGAATTTGATCAATACTTCACAAATTTTTGATTTTCAATGAGCATCAAAAAAATTAAATCTAAATTTAAGCCACCACAAGTACTCAAATTCTACTAATTTACAATTAAACATTTTTATGTTTTTTTAGCTTTTTAATAAGATGAACATTATGTTTAGTTAAAAGAAATAACATGTTTATAACATTAAAGATGGTAATATTTGACAAGCCATAATTTTTGTGTGTTTTCTTTATTATTCCATCGAAGTTCATCTCATAATTGTTCACTTGCACAATACAACTTGATTAATTATAACTTATTTCATAAAATCATCTTTAAATTTATTATACACCTTCATCATGTTGATTATGTAAAAAAAAAATATATAGTAAATCTTGATTTATGATATATATCTTTTTATATATATATATAAAAAAATCCATAAGTTATCAAAGATATTATTTTAAAATTATAATTTTTTTTTAAATAATTTAAAATTTTAAAAATAACACAAAAGCTAAATATTTTAAGATTTTTACAATAAAATAAAAAATCAATCAATACAAGTACAGATGTTGGTAATAGTAGGTCTTTAAATCTACTTACTATTAAGTAAAAAATAAAGATTTATAAAGAAGTTTAAAAAAACAATATTTTTTTCCTTTAAAAAAAATTTATAAATCTATTAAAAAAAACTTGCAAAGATCAAGGTGCATTTAGAGAAAAAAAAAAAAAAAAAAAAAAAAAAAAAAAAAAAAAAGAAGTTATGTGACTTAAAAGACTAAATAGAGATTTAATTTATATTTTATGCACCTTTTGTTAAAATATAAAATGCTCACTACTATAATATTAAATAATAGTAGTTATGTTATAAATATATATATATTCATAAATCTATAATTAGTTATAAGAAAGATGTGATATTTTTTAATATTATTTTTAAAATGATTATTTAAAAATTATTTATTTAGACTCAATAATTATACTAAAAACTAAACCTTTGGTTATTCAAACATTCTTTTAAGAACATGACATGTATTATTTAATGTGTCGTTTGAAATTACACAATTATTTATATATTTTGGTAGAAATAATTAACAAAGCAATTCTATATTAGCTAAAATTTTCTTAGAAAAAAGCCAAATTATAGCTTATAAAGGACATAGGTCTAAAAAAAGGTATATTAGTAGAAATATTCTTCTATATAAAATAAAATAAAATAAATATGTATGTATGTATGTATTTAAGTAAGAAATTGATGAAATTTTTATACAAGTAATAAAATATTGAAACATCTTAAACCATGAATTAAATACAAAAAAATAAATCAATAAGATTGAAAATGACTTTAATCTACCTCTATATATACTAGCTATGAAGAAGGCCATGTGCACATCTTTTTTAATGACCACAAGGCTTATAAGGCAAGTATCTAAGTTTGCTAGACACTAATATTTGGTTTCATAGTAGTATAAAACTTCTAAGAAAAAATATTAGAAATATATGATGTATCTATAGATCCAATTTATGTCTGTAAATTTTTTTTGATTCTTTCTAAAGATGATATTATCTACTTGATATATTTATATCTATTTATAGTTATTCTTTTCTAATTACATTTCATAGATATTCATTGCATAACTACCTTAATTATTTCATATTATTTTTTATTATTAAATTTTGTCATTTGACATCAATAATATAAAAATAAATATTACTAACATAAAAAAATAAAGAAATTGTAAAAAAATCCAACTATTTAATATAATAGTTTTTTAAATATCATAATAGAATTTACATTAGAAGTCTAAAAAAATTAATAAAAATATATCTTGATTTTTACTCAGCATTCTCTTTAAAATAATCTTTATTTAAAAAAAGAAAAAAGAATAACTAATCCATCTAAAACATATAATTTATTATAATATTTATAATAAAAATATAAAAAAATTAAATTCGCATTTGATATCATTAGTAGTAATATTACTATTTTAATTTTTATTTTAAAAAATGTATTATATTTTAATTTTAATTTTATATATTACAAAGAAAATATATTTAAATACTGAATGTACTTGATTTATATATGTGTTTATGTACACGAATAAAAATTAAAAACTACATAAAACATGATGCTTTAAAATTTGATAATCAAATTTTAAATTATAAAATTATAAAATTTTGATATAAAATTTGCATGTATGATCAAATATAAAAATTAAATATTTATATATATATATATTAATTTAATTTAATTAAATATTTATATATATATATTAATTTAATTAAATTAAATATTTATATATATAAAAAATATAAAATAAATAAAAATTATTTTTTATTAATTATTTATTATCTTTTGATGATAAATTTAGAAATATATATATGTCTCCAAGTATTAAATTCCATTGAATAACTTTAAATAAATATAATTTTTGTAATATATTTCAGTGCACTAGTAGTATATATATTGAATAGAATTTTAATTATATTTTAACCAAGATTATTCTAATATAAAGGATATTCTTTAAGTTTAATAGTCTTGTTATTCTATTTCAGTTTTTATTTTATATACATGTAAATAAGTATATATATAATATACATATAAATAATTATATATATAATATACATATATATATGTATATATATATATATATATACATACATTCATACATATTTATACATATTCTAAGTTTAAGACCGAATTGTATGTTGTTCTAAACAGTTACTACTAATGCATATGTACTGTTACATTAAGAATAAAATTATAAAGAAGAATAAATTACTAAAATCTGAGTTTTATTTACAAATATATCTAATTATCTGTCAATACAATTATAATCTTTAATCCTACATAAGAATACAAATGTATGTATATGTATATTTTTATATATTTATATATAAATAGAAAGAATAATATTCTACCCGTTTTAAACTACAAACATTGCATGTTTGTTAAGAGGCATCATAGCTACATGATAAGACAAAGAAAGAAATCTAAAGAATGGTTAATATTAAACAAGAAAAAGGTTATCGACCAAATCTCTAAAAAAATATTCATGTAGGCCATAAAAAGAAAAAGAAAAAAGTAAGTGAAGAATTATTTTTGTAGGTAGGAAACTGTTTTTTCTTTTTACAATAACATTGTTCCATTAATCATTCTTTTAAAGTTAGGACAAGATTAGAAACAACCTTATGGGACTCCATATCCCTCCATTAAATATCCTCCACAAAACATGTTCTACCTTCCTGTCTGCTCCTAGTAAGTTACATCCTCCAATGAATTCCATGCTAACATTATCTCAAAAAATTCCCATTTTTCTAAGAATTTTCCATCCACCAACTCTTCTAATTTGGCACCCCTCAATACAAATTTGACATCTACCCATAAACCAGCAAACACACAATATACATTACAAAACGAAGAAAGTGTGAAAAGGCCCTCAAGCCCACTTGAGAATTGAATGCACAGCCAAGACTCTCTCTCTCACTTACTATGCCAGAGAAGCGTTATTCACCGGAGTGTGGGTTTGCAAGATGAGCTTCAGGGGTGCAAAATTGTAATTGCCAAGTGTAATGCCAAGTGGACTCCCTCACCGCTAATCTAATCCAACACAATCGGATGACGTCCACAGGACCATGACGACGACGCCGACTTGACGACGCAATATGCAATAGGCGAAATGGGGTCAAAGCTGGCGTGACGAAGGACACGAATGCGGAGGAGGAGGAGCGAGTGATGGTCAAAGCTTTGAAGAAGGAATGCCAGTATCAATGCTAATGCAGGGTGAAGAAGAAGAAGAAGGGTTGGATGGTTGAATGATACCCACTCCATGCGTTGTTTGGTTGGTCCTGTTTGTTGCCTTGTGTGGTTCGATGATCGATGCTGCAAAACCCTGCGAGGTGGGCTCCAGGATTTGCTGCTACTACTATGAGTGGCGGAGTAAACCTTGCGAGTAGTCATGGTGATCTCAAACTGGAGGTCAAATGGACGCGCCATGGGAAAAAGCAGAGGCCTGCGTCGCTGCCAACACATGCATCACGAGAAGATCCTGCCTGCTTTTTCTAACCACGGGGCTAGGAGACCCTCTCTATCTCCGCAAATCTGCAGTTAGCGGTGGAGAGTATAAAGCCTCTCAGCCCTAATTGCGCTCTGTTGGAGTTCGTAACCAGGTTTCTTCTGCTGACTGGGTTTCAATCCTCGCAACCAGCGCCTGGCTAGCTTCTCATACTAGCTGGTGAGAGTTGAATTGTCTCTTTCTAACCGCCTTGGGACCCCACGTGGTGATGTGCGCGTTGTTGGTTTTGATGGAATTGTTGGTGTGTTTTTGTTGATGAGTTTTGAGATGTGAAGGTGAAGGTGCGAGGTGGGCAGTGTTCGAGGTTGGGACGATGATCACGATGCGAGATGTCGCGGGTGCGCTGGGAATTGGGATCCCAGTGCTGTGGTTTCTGATGGCTTTCATGGCGTCTATTCCTGTGAGTTGGCTGCGGCGATTCGTCCGAGGAGTTACAGCGCGCCATCTCTATGCTGCCGCGAGCGGCGCGCTTCTCTCGCACTGTGCTTTTGGGTACGAGTCTAATCTGTATCTCATGGTTCCCATCTGCGTGAGCTACGGAGCCATGGTGGTGAGTCGGAGGATGTGCGGGGTGATTTCTGCTGTATTCGCCTTTGGCTTCCTCATATATTGGTGAGTACTCGAATTCTTTTCGATTACGGTGCTCCGATCAAGAGGAAATACAACACATTTGTTCGATGTTCCGCAGTGAAAGTCTCTAATGTTGTAATGTAATGCATTTTGCAATTGGATGGTACGTGAACGAAGATGTTTGGGTAGAGTATTCTTGTTGATGAGTCGCTGTTCTGGTTCATTCCAGTTGATCTCAGTCACACACTTCAAGTGCACTTGATGTGTACAAGCAGTTTCATGGGGTTCCAAAACTAGAATCAATTTCTTTATAGAGAATTTATGAGGAAACCGTCTACGTTTGTCGTTTTTCCGAGTATCCAGAGTTGAGTTTATTGTGCGAACTCTGAGGATGAATGCAGATTCTGTCCGAAAAGCTAAGATTTCTAATAAATGAGACAAGAATAAGAAGAGGGAACAACCAGTGTTAGACAACGATCAAGTCATCGAAAGAAAGGAAAACTACACGTCTTGACCTCGCCATAAGAACAAGGCGTTCGATAGGCAAACTATGAGAAATATTTAGCCAGCAGTTTGTTTTGAACATAAGGATAAGGGTGGCTTGGTGTTGGTTGCAGCCACGTGATGTTTATGAGTGGCGATGCGTGGAAGAGCGGTGGAATCGACCATACCGGTATCTCTTCACTAATATAATGCAAGTAGGGTTTAAGGTCAAAGTCTACAGAGTGTGCTTAACCTCAACTCTGAGCAGTGTATTTTCATAACGAAGGTTAACGAAATTTGGCTAGTGGTAGTATGACGTGATCTTCGATGAAGGGCAACTAACTCTATGGCGACCGTTTCGATGCGATTGCACAGGCTCCATGATGGTGCTGACTTTGAAGGTCACATCGGCAGCTTTTAACTATCAGGACGGTTTAATCAAAGATGAGGAGTCATTGCGGGAAGCCCAGAAGAAGTCCCGCCTTGGCAAGCTTCCATCCTTCCTCGCCTATCTCGGCTACTGTTTCAATTGTGGAACCATCTTAGTTGGTCCCGTGTTTGAGCTCAGAGATTACATGGACTGGACCGAGGACAAAGGGCTGTGGGACCCACAAGCAGAGAACCAGCCCCCATCTCCTTACGCAGCTGCGTTTCTCGCAGCTGTGAAGGCCTTTGTTTGTATGGGCATTTACATGTACATGACAGGGACTTATCCTCTGAGTTTCCTGACAACGCCCGAGTACATGAAGCGGGAGTTTGGGTTCCGTGTCTGGTATCAGATTCTATGTGGTTTTGGTGCAAGGTGGAAGTACTACTTCATTTGGTCCTTATCCGAAGCTGCTGTTATGATCTCTGGGTTTGGTTTTAGTGGTTGGGTTAAACCTACACCTTCCGATGAGCCGAAGGCGAAGTTTTCACGAGCAGAGAATGTTGACATTCTGAATGTGGAGCTGGCTACGAGCGCAGCGGAGATTCCCAAGTATTGGAACATTCACGTGAGCGTCTGGCTGCGGCATTGTATCCTCGTTCACGGATTTGTTATTTCTATTTTTCTTGTGAAATGACCTCCATGCTATGTTGGATTTACAAGATTTGTCACGCGTGGATTACTTTCTTCTCAAATTCGCGAGGCATCTCAATCAAATTATTCTCTGTTGTCACTGAGGTGAGAATCGGCGAATCTGGATGTCGGTGTAGAATTGGCCGCTAGGTCATGCAAGTTTGCTGGATTTCTTAACTTCGCTAAATTCAGATGTCTATGAAAGACTAGTGGTGAAAGGGAAAAGACCTGGATTCTGGCAGCTTCTTGCTACCCAAGTCGTGAGCGCAATTTGGCATGTAAGCACTTCTCTCCGCAGTTCCTGTAATGCGCAGTCTGCGTTAGGTAGATTGGCTGGCAGATAGCTATCAGGTTTCAAACGTCCTTGCTAATGGTGTTACCCCCTCTGCTCCAAATCTATTATGAGATCTCAGTAGTCTGAGACTTCTACTACTGTTTGGTGTGCAGGGCTTGTACGCTGGATACTTACTCTTCTTCGTCAACAGCGCACTTATGATCGCAGGCGCTCGAGGTAAATTATGAATTACCACTACGTTGTCTCTGGATGCTGGCCTTCCACAACGATTCGTTGGTATGTTTTGAGCAGGAGAGTGCTGCCTGCATGGTTCATCATTAACAGAAAGTGACATTCGATTCTGCAGTGATATTTAAATGGCAGCGGTCGATCCCCAAGAGTAATTTCTTGGCGGTGAATCTGGGGCCGCTGTTTGGTTTCGTCTACACCGTATTTGTGCTCAACTTGACCGTCATGGGTTTCCTGGTTAGTGACTCGAACCATCTGTGTATTACCTTCGGCCCCATCTTAACATGTAATATGTGCATGTTTGTGTTTAGAAAATGTTCTAGTTACATAATTAAAGCTTATAGAATCAATTATGTTGGTATGGATCACCCTTTTCCGGCCGGCTTTCCTATTTTTGGCTTAGCAGTAAAAACAATAAGCTTAGATATAAATACGTCGTTGGCAACAGTACCAAATTGAATTTTTTGTCATTCGATAGAAGTTGCTTGATCAACAATTTAGTACTTCGCTGTGTAACTCTGTTTTTTTTTTTTTTTTTTTTTTTTTTTTTCCCTCTTTATTTTGCAGGTTCTGTACTTCGATGACACTATTACGGTATATAAAACTGTATACTACTCTGGAACATTGCTACCAGTTGTGATTATATTACTAGGGGAATTCATCAAACTGCCGAGAGCTGGACAGAATCCAAGTGTGAAGAAGGAATCATAGTGTGGCTGGCTGTATTCCATTGACATTGGTTCTGACATAGAATCTATAGTTCCAGTCTTTGTCATGACTTTAAGTTTAAGACATTAATGACAAAAGGCATTTTTCCCAGTCCGCAATTGTCCTCTTCTAATTTTGATTACCAGAACGTGTGAAGTTGGCTGGCGCCGCTTTCAGTGACTAGCAACGCATTGAATGTATCAATGTCGTCAGGTCGAAATCATGCAATCCCTGCTGAATCAACCGCGGTAGTGGATATGTGCGTAATACTCCACATTGCATTGCGTGATTTACCGCGTCAAATCATCCCTGGCTTTCTTCCCCAGTGTTTTGTCAAAGAAAACCATCTTGCAAAGGCATCATTTATGTAGACTATGCTGTCTCACTTTTCCTCTTAACCTCTAGTGTAAAAGATCTCTATCGGGAAACTTCAAAAGTCTTATTCAAATCCAATATTTGAAGACAAAGTAAAAACAAGCAAGATGGAAAATCACATAATCATTCGTATTCTTCCGTAACCACGAAGTATGTACGAACGTGATGGTAGACTGTTGAATGCCGAGAATCATGTCACCTCAACTCCAATAATTTGACAAACTATTCTCTCCCTCATCTTAAAAACTTCTGGTTAGCTTTCCAGCGTAAAGCTTTCCAACCGCCATGGGAATCGAGGATCACAACGCAATCCACACGACTTCGTCATAAACGGCCGAGAACCATACATCTTATATATATATGCAAGAATTAAATAGAAAGCGATGAAGCAAAAACCGCATGGGCTGGTGGCAAACCCATACCCAATAACTTGCCACCATCTGTAAACCTACCATCCACGTGTCCCCTATGAGTTCCTCCACCTCACTGAGATCTCGTCATGCGCTCAACCCTCCTTATCATCGCCCTTTTCGATGGAATCCCTTGTCCTGTTCGACGCCCTCACTACATATCCCTCGTCACAACTACAGGATTTGTAGTTTCTATCACAAGCACAGCAACATACCCTAGCAAAAACAATCCCCAAGTGAACCCTGTTATCGAAGATGGTGGACGCGGCAGCCTTGATCATCGGAGTGATCCTGTTCGTGGTCCTGTCCCCAGGACTAGTGTTGCAGATCCCCGGAGACGACCGCCCTGTTGAGTTCACGAATCAGCGGACGAGCATAGCGTCTGTAATTGTGCATGCGGTTGTGTTCATCATCCTCTTCTACCTACTGCAACTCGTCTTCCATGTGCACGGTGGTACCAAGGTCGACTAAGCGGCCGCGGCTTCCTCCGAACCTGGCAAGTATCAGTGTTGTTTTGTGTTTTGGAAGCGCTTTTCTTGCCTGTTGAAGTTCTTCAATCGATGGTCACGATTTTAGCTTCTCCAGTGCTCTGCATGTGCTTCAAATGCTCTCTAGTGGCTACCTAGACACAGCGTTTTGGTTGTTTTTTTGTGTACTAGCCTTTAGAAAAGGAAGGCACGAGTGTGTTGGGAATGCCACTTTTCGTAGCTAGCCGCCGTTGAACTGTGGATTTGTCAGACATGTACTCACTTCTGTGCTGGATTCTGCAGTCGAGCTGCCACCCTAAGTTGTCTTTTGCGAATAAAATTCGAACACGAGGATGTGGATAAAACTGGGCATTTCTTATTGTCTCACAAGTGGGTGTACAGGGACCTGTTGATGGGTCTCATCTGCCAGTAGCCAGCCCTCGAGGTTGAGATAGGAACAACGTCTGTCTTGTTTCATGTCGATATGTACATTTGGACTTCTGCTTCTCGCTTTAAGTTGATGGAATGCACACAGTTTTCACTGTAACTCTTCACTGTATCGACAAACTTTGTGTGTGGTGATGGTGGTGACTGGATTGGACATGGATCTTTGGGTTGAATTATCACCAGGGAATAGAAACACTCTATTTTGGTAGAAAATGTGTTGAGAGACGTTATCCCCGTTGCAAGCAACAGCTTGTTGTCGAAAAGAATGCATCTTGCTTGTTTCGTGGATTGTATATGTGATGAATGAGTGCTATTTTTAAGAAAGAACATACTAATAATATAACGTAACATATATTAAATAAATACTATACATATCGTGATGGAATCAATTGATGCTAAAAATAACTAGACAAATTTATGTCTGTTTATGGAAGTGAATCCACACGAAGCCTGTTGGCAAAATTAACTACTCATCATTTAATTTTCTTACACCTTTTCATTAAGCACAGTTGTTGCAGCTAAATCTGCAGTAGTGGCAACGAATGGTAAGATCTTACTAATCTTACTCTTTCCATTGTTCAAAATCATCTACATACTGGAATGGTTATCGTCATTGAAAATGAGATCTTAGCAATCTTACTCTTTCAATTGTTCAAAATCATCTACATACTGGAATGCTTATCGTCATTGAAAATGATTTGAGCGATAGTGCTTACTCTTTTAACTTTTAAATAAAGTAATCGTATACGGGTGGGTAAGAAAAGCTTTTTTTATTGGAAACACATCGTAATGCACGTTATTCTTCCTATAATTACCTGGAATAAACAATAAAAACGGCAAGTGCACATTCATTAGATTACTTAGTTCATGATACTCTCCTCTCTAAAAGTATCAATGTTGCTAAGAATGGAATTTGAACTGTAGACTAATTGTTAGAATTCAAAGCACGTGGTCGTCAAAACGAAACATTAAAAAGTACAGAGCAGATCCTCGAGAAGCTAACAATGTGTTGAAACGTACAGAGTTTGGTAATGTAGCTGAACAGTTGTTTATCATCAAAGACGGTTGAGACTTTGAAGAAGAAAGTTGTACGACCCTACCAAGAGCACACAACTTCTGGAGAGGCGCATTTTCCTCAAACCATATCATTTGAGGAAGAGAATGATGTTGTTAAATATAAATATATCATATGAAAATTGAATAATTTATTGGTTTATTTGGTGTAGAAACAAGTCATGCACGGCCTCAGAGGGTCTACTGTAAGAGAGGAAACCCTGGAAAGAGTGTATGGTTCAAAGAAATTCACTGCTTTGACAAATTTAAGAAAGTATAAAATATATTACTTAATAAAAATAATTACTTTAATATCTGTTAGCATGATTGAGAAGAAATAAATAAAAATATGATTTAAAAAAAAATACCCCCACTTTCGTTAATTACATGTTACAAATAAGTATTTAATAACCCATAGAAAGTTGTAAATTTATGTGGAATTTCGCTTAAATATTTAAAATTAAGACAAAAAAAAGAAAAAAAGAAAAAAAGAAAAAAGACTGCAATTGTGTAAAAATCAAATACTAAGGCCTGTCTCCTAGGGCCTATTTATGGAACATCTTAGTCCAAACGAACATGGCATCTGAGTGGTGTGATCATGCTAAAAATGAATTGATAGACAAAATGGTCAGGGCTGTAGACACAAGTTGAAACATAATATTGTAAAGTGCTTCCAGGTAAGGTAGAAGTCAAACATTGTTAAATTTAAAAAATTAATATCTTCCCAGTTATATAAATTTTAGATTTTACCTTTTAAAAAGATAATCCAATAATACCATCATACTAAACTAAAGACATTGAGGAAACAGTTGCAAGCCATATTTCGAAGTTAACAGGACTGTACATCCAACCACTTGCTTTACAATTGTTTTTCTTCTTTATTTCTTCTCTAATGCAGGCATCGAGGGTAGCATTGATTGATCAAAAAGAATACATGCCATTTGTTAAGCTCTCACAATCAATTTTTAACACTTATGTTCTCATCAATGTACGGGATGAGAGAAACTTCACCGACCTTGTGTATAATTAAATCAACATTAGTTTTATCTATTCATTACATACTTGTAATCAACATTTCAACGTCATCTTAGTACAAGCGATAGTCATTTGAAAATCTAAGAAATGACAAAACAATCCGAGGGTGAGATTTGGTGAACTTCAAATATTGACATTCCTTTTACAAGGTTATTTCAGATTCTAGGTAATATATTCTTCATCATGACCATTAACTTCTCACACACGCATCTTATTTTTCTTTTAACTTCTCATTCACGTATCTTATAGTTATATATTTGAGGTGTCAATTTTATTATTGAAAGAAAAAACCAAAAAATTCTAATCAATCAATAAAAAAAGAATAACCTCAAGCACATCACCGACATAATATTTTAACTGGAAGAATAATTGGAGGAATAACTGGAAGAATAATTTCACTCCAAACATGAAAACGGGTGCACATACAAGTTGGACCTCGAGGATGAGAAGTTGAAGAGTACTTTGACCCACAGTAGATTCTGATTATCTGCTCCTGGTGATCTACCAACACCCTACAAGACCTATACAGGAAGCATGGAGTTGAGATATACAAGTATCATTCGGACAATACAAGCCATAAACACAAAGTGAGCAGAATGAGGAAGAAGCAGATCTGAAACTGCTCTGGAAATCGTTGAACATGCAGCAATAACATAAGCTGAAAGGCCAATTCCCTCCAAATCTATCTATTCAAAATGTTGGTTTCTATAATAATCCCATCTACGTCTAAAATATCTGTCAAACAGATGTATAACAATGGACCATGGCTTTATCAAGATTATGCAATTCGTTTCCACAGGGACCTTATATACACGACAAGGGACCACAAAGCCAATCCTGCAGAGACGTAAAGCAAACTAACACCTGTTACTCCAAGTGCAACTCCTCCTCTGCAGTGACAACCAGATTCAGTGAGCTAGATCTACAAATGCAAGAAATAAAACACAAGAATGAAAACCCTAAACCCTGGTCCACCAACTTATCAACAAAATGAACAATGCTGAAAATCCTCAAAAGATACACGTACCCGCCATCTCGGCCAGCCAGTAGCAAAGTAAGAGCCATCATTTGTGCTGCTGTTTTCCACTTCCCTAAACCATTTACCGCCACAGCCTGCAAGTAAATCTCTGCGAAATGAGTAAAGGCGCCCTGAACCTAAAATCTCAACAGGAGACATGACATGATGACACAAACAAAGTACGAAGTACCATGCAAATACAAGTAGTCTGATCATACATGCGGTTAGGGGCGTTGCATATATGCACTCAGCCATGGCAAGACACAATATACCTTGCGAACGTCCTTCCCCTGGGATGCAGCCCACTCTCGTAGTGCGGACATAGTAATCTGCACATCACAATTACTTATCAGGTGAATGCATCTCCTCATCATTCATACATTTATGGGTGTAATCGGGAAATACGATAAGAAGTAAAACTCGCCTATTCAATTTGAAAAGGAATAACGTGATAGTGAAAAGTAACTACTAACAGTACCTCTCGGCCGATGATGGCAATCGCAGGCAAAGGGAGAAGCCAAGGGCCAAACTTCGCCAATGCTGCTAGTGGAGGTCTCGTGCAAAGCAACACTAATGTAGTCGCTACCATCAACTGCACCAACCCACCATACTCGTTCACTGCGAGTCTAAAGATTCTCCACTTTAACGTAAAGATTCGAAATTCTAAAACTGTAAGAAAAAATAAACAAACGCACCTTATCTGCAACAGGATCCAAGAATGCACCGAACTCCGAGCTGGACCCCATCTGTCACTCAACGCAAACAATTGTCAAACGGAATTCCCCTCGTAGAGTCTCGCCTCGTCACAACCAAAATACCTACATCCTTCTCTAAGTCAAAGACGGTTGACATGTAACCTACAGTCTTACAAACGTTGCGAGAAGGAACCTCAAGCACTACCTTTCTCGCAAGGTAGCCATCAAGCCAGTCCGTCACAGCTGCCAGCACAAAGATTGTCGCCGTGGCCGTCGTTGCCCATGTCTCTTGAGAATAAAACGCTGCACAACACCTAATAATCAGATGTGCGCTCGACATCATCGCAGGGAGCACCCCTTAGTTCCAAACATTGCAAAGGAACGACATGTTGGAAAACATGGCTGATAGTAGATGTCCCTACACGAAATATGATACAAAAGGTAGAGGCTTCCCAGCCAAAATGCAGGGTTCAAAGGTCCATAATTCGTAATGTTACAACATACAAAATAGTCCAACTTATCATAGCGCACCAATGGATATCTCCGACGAACTTACTAAATCCAACAACTTAGTCACGATCCAGGACGAAACGATGGAACAAAGAATTGCAACTAGAAACAGTACCAGCAAGCAAAACAGGCACAGCAGCCACCCGGCTCAAGGTCAGGATGGTCGGCAACGTCAGAAACTTCTTATCTGATGAACCCACGACGTTATGCTCCGCACCATGCCCATTTACTAACTTGTCCCCATCACTCTCGCGCCCCTCGGAACAAACACATCCAGCGCACAGATCCCGCCCCTCTCTCAAAACCACGAGCCGTCTCACACCCACATCCTCTGTCAGTGGCGGCATCGCTGCAATACCACGCGCATTTCCGCCACAGATGTACTCGGAATCACCTCTCACCCGTCCTCTTCCACGTCCCTTCACAAATACCCCAGATCCGCTCCAAGCACCGATCCGCCCGCTTGCGAACGCAATTCCATGCCTCAGAAAATTCCACTTGCAGAATCGGTGCACAACACCAGCAATGCTGAAGCATTCAAACCAAGACTCACGTCAAAACCTCCTCCAGTCCCCCAAAAATCCTCCCTAGCAAAACCCTCAAATCTTCCTCAAACTTCCTCAAACACTTCACCACAACACTAAAAAAAATCCCCTGAAAAAAGCAATTAAAACATCGACCCGAACGAATGCGGTCCTCCAGGAAACAACAGGACCGTAGAATTACATTCCATCATGAAGCTCGCCTATGCTGACTGACTACAAGCGACGCAGAGCAAAGGGAGGAGCAAATTCGAGAGGCCGTGGCCGAAAGATACCGCACAAGAAGCGCAGTGTCTTTATCCCCAAAAATAGGATTCCAAGGGTTGAATCAGACAACGCTAGTTGTAGTGATGACTGACGCATGCACTCACTCACTCACTGAGTGTGGTAGGGACCCAACCAAGCAAGCAACGAAGCGGCGATGGAATAAAAAGGTGAACCGGGGAAGTGGAGGAGAGGGGGACCATGGACCGGCACTGGCATTGATCGGCGATGGCGAAGGAGGAGGAGGATGACGACGACGAAGAGTGCAATAGCAGCAGCAGCAACAGCGCCGACGAAAAATAGGGACGACGACGAGGACGGTGACGGGGAGGAGTAGCAGCACGGCTACTTACGCATCATAGGATGAAGTCTCCCTCCTTCCTTCCTTCCGATGGATCACCGTGGACACCTGTTCACACCGTCGTATCGTGGCCGGATCTGTAACCCAGTAAATAAAAAAGCACATCCCCACTGTATTAGTGGTTCCGTGTTTTCTTTATTCTCTCTTCGTTTGTAATGTTTATAATGAGTTATAACTTCAACACTCTAAATTACTCACTTTTTCACACACACACACACACACACATATATATATATATATATATATATGTAACCTTTTTTTCCTCACGTTTCAATGAGAGTGGATACTATATAATTAAAAATATCTGTATTTGAAAGTTTATATCATGGTTCTTTTAAATAAAATAAATGTTTAGAAGACATGAATATTTTATATTTGTAATGTATCATATAACGAAAAAATATTTATGATGTTTCATTTTGTTATTTTTTATACTTTTTTTAATACAATATATGTCATATGACACAGTATGTGGAAGTAAAGACGTGCAAGTGAGTAGTGCCATGTTTAATTGAAGTATAATTATTTATTTTATATTATAATAAAAATATTTCTCTAAATATTTATGCATGTATTCCTGTAGATATGTGGGAAAAGAATAAAGAATATGGGAGATTATAATAAAGTGCTGTGATGTAATATGTTTTGAAATATGTCTTCCAGAGCTGCCCGACACGAATTACAGCCTGCCCGATTGCGACTTAAACCCGAGGGGAAATTTAACATTCATCCGAGGTGGCTGCTGGGTTGGGCACGGGTACATCTCCTACCACCACGGCGACTACCAGCTTCAGAATTTAGGGTTTCAAAGCTAGATGCGAAGACGGCTGTTGAATGCCAACACAGTTGGAAATTTGAGGGGATGGACGAAGGACTTTGAAAGAACGGGCAATTGTTTTTGGTATTCAAATTTATCTACAACTTAACTGATTTTTTTCGCTTTAGTTGTAGCTATCGCATTCGGAGGCAATGGTATCAATTAAAGCGCAAACAAGGATTTGAAGGGCATGGAAATAGTGGAGGATGAGAATAGGAATTCGTGTTTGCAGAGAAGATAGTTGAGGAAACTCAAATTGACAGCAGGATTGGGGTTGCGGCAGGAGGAGTGGTGAATTGATCCATGACTTGGAGAAAATGTAGTGAATTTTGGCTGTTCCTCAAAGAAGAGGCAGAGCATTTATGCTGCTTCTTTCGAAATTGTTTCGGCGCACACATGTAAATGAGTAGAGAAAAAAGGAATCCGTGAGCTCCTTGGTGACAACGCAGCGACATGCTAATTGTGTAGCGCAAGTTTGTCCAATCGAGACTATACAACTACATAATTGCAGAACAAGTACATTTGTGTCGGTTTGTTTCTGTTCAAGTTGTGAAGCTTGACCGCAAACAACCTGTTGCTTGTGGTTATGGTGAACCGAGAATTCTGAATGCTTCCAAAGAAAGCTAGTCCGTTGGGTCACAACATCCCTTACGCTTGGAACTTTAACTTCAGCTATAAGGAAGGAGTGGTCAGCTAGTCTTCTAGCAGATACTCATTTTCACTTGGGTTTTATGTACGGCATTATTTACGACATCCAGTCCATACAACTGTTGGACTTCGGTACCGCTAATCGAAGTCTTGGTATCCAATCACTGGATCTACAAAAAGGACTTTGTTGTACGAGGTTGCAGTTCACTTCGCACCGGTTTGCTTGCATTGTGACTCTTCTGTAAACCTGTAAATTAGCTACCAAGGTTGTTCCCTTATTATTCTTGGGCGACTTTCCTGAAATAGTGATGCCACCGATGGAATAGCTTCTCGGCAGTACGTTTGCTCCTCACGAAGCCGATCATTCGTGTTTTTCTGGCATTCTATTCCTTTCTTACTTGGTTTTTCTTCATCCTCGATGCTCAGGAGCGTTTTCATCACTTGTGCTAGAAGCCGATAGTTGTCTAAATAGCTGCACTTCTCTTGGATTTAGCACATGTACTGATGACTAAGGTTATTCTCTTAGGACTTTGACCGATGCTTGGTATTAGAGGAGACGGCAAACATACTGTGTTAATCTTTTTCTCTGAAATAACGGGGGAACCATATCTCTCAAATAGATTCATATCGACCAAGGTGAATTCACGGGCTCCACAGGGCCAATCCCGACTAATTAAGGTATCCTGTGCGACTTTTTCACAGCTCCGTTCTCTCTGAGAATAACGGTGCTTCCCTAAGCAGCGTCTCATAGGTTCTTGTTCAGGAACCTACATGCAACGTGTTACGCATCCATTTCAGCCTAATTTTATTACTTTGGACCTCAGCCCTCTGGGCTGAAATCTCGATGGGAAAGCATGTTCCATCCATACCATTAATATCAATTTAGAGAAAACGTATTGGAATATTTAGTAGCTGTGCAGCTGGATGGTCATGTTCATTATTTATGTGTGTATTTACATGTTTATAAATAATTGTAGGTGCAAACAATCATCACCACCTTTCTGTCACTTCCATGAAGAATATACAGAAGCGTTGGTGAAATTATTGAGATGACTATGTATTACAGAGTGCCTGATACCGTGGAAGTGGTTTTGTTCTTTCCATTTGGGTCAAGGAAAACTTCGTTGCCAGCTTCCAGGATTAATTACAAACCGTACATTTCCATTAGTGGAGGTTTTCTCCTCACGAATGAGCTGGTTTAAAACCAGCATTGATCTAAGCCTAATTTTTTCGGATATTCACTTCTGATATTTGCCTCATCGATCTATCCATCTTCAGAGCTTGAGAGGCTTTTTAAAGTTAAACTCAAAGCTCGTGATGGAGAATCCGTAGAGAGTTCCCATCGCCGGTAGGAGGGAAGAATCCACCCTGGGTTTCTCTGCCATGGCCGCAGGCTTCACCCACCCACTCGCAGAGAGACAGGTTTTTAGAAGATGCGGCAAGTCCCTCTTGCTATCACCATCTAGCGGAAGTTGAATCAGGGGTAGAAAATCGAGAAGATTAACAGGAAGGAGAGGAACTTTAGTCAGCACTGGCAGCGATACTGGAGAATACCTGTCGTTTATCACAACATCGAAAATCAAACTTCCCCGGCGATTTTTTTCACCCGGACGACGCACCGTAACACGACCGGGCGCTGAAGGAGACGGTTCTCGCCATTCGAACACCCCGTACTCTTTCGGAATGCCCCAATTCGCACGACCGTCTGTGACACTTTTCTGCAACCAGCAACCATAAATCAACGTCACATTCCAAGCTAATCCCTAACAAGATTGAAACCACAGTTACTTAACATGGTCCATAGAATTGTATAAACCGAATCATTTGAGACTGAGATTGAGCGATTACGGTGGATGATTCAAGCTTTAATTACCTCATTGTCTACCCATATTCGGGAAATGCCATGTGCCTTCTTGACCTTTCCATCTGTGCTATCGTGGTACTGATACAACCCCGGTATGAATACCAACTCCTTGTATGGACCCACCGGACTATCATGGTAATCTGTAACTACCAACCCTCCGACTCCGCCCACAAATTTCAGCAGATTGGTGGGATCCTTTGCATATGTTGAATGGGCGCACGTAGATTCCTTGGGCAGTGCGAGTGGAAAGAGTGGAAAGGCGTACCCTCGGCCATGGAGGAGCCATGGTGCTTCGGCTCTGCCTGCAGGGACATGTGCTTTGCTACTACTTGGAGGGTGGCCGCTAACAGCATCGCTATTCCGGCTGAGAGAACCACCCATATCTGCAGCTAAAGAATAATTTGGTGTTTTTCCAGACACTTGAATCGCATTCGGAGCTGCGGAAACACTAGTCAAACGGGATGCGCAACTCCAAGACAGAGGGAACAACGACATCTGACGACGCAATGGTACGCAACTCATGGACTCAACAGTAACTTGTCAATAACTAGCAAGCACCGAAGTGAAACACGATATCACACAAACAGACACAGATACAAACAGGTCAATCAACAAGCTTCCTAAGAAATTGTGCGCGCTTCTTCGTCCCCTTCCTCTTCTTCTACTTCTTCTTCTTCTCTACAGTCTGTCCATGCGATGGAGCTCAATGTGTACCACTCACCAACAGTGAAAACAAACACCAAGCTGCTTCGAAATTGTCTAACGGTGTTAACTAACGGTGACGACGACGACGACGACTAACGATGGATGAGGTGGAGAGATGCAAAGAGCGACAACTGAAGACACAATTGTGGTGTCCAAGCTTTCATGCATTCGAAAAGCTCGTGTCGACGTGGGCTCATCCAGCATCGCCCTTCAGCATCGCCGCTTTTGCAATTCCAGAGTCGGTGGCGTTCGATCAGACGTCGATGGGATCCGTGCAAGTGTGCGAATGCGGTGTGAACGTACCTTGATCGTTCGTTCGTTCGTTCGTTCGTGCATACCCTAAACCCTGCAATGCAGTTAGTTCCGGACAATGAGGGCTTTGTGTAACAATTTCCCAAAAAGAGTAGTGGTGTCGTGAATGAATGAATGAATATTTTGTGTAATGGATATATACAACATAGATTCAAGCTTGGGCAACCACTTGTTTGCTACTCCAGCTTTGGGACAATAGGTATACAAGGTATGTTGGTCAATTCATTATCTATATATATATATATATATATATATATTTGAAAAATGGACATATGCTGTAGATATTGATACCTTATGGTTTTAACAGCCCACAATAGTTACAAAGACTTCGGTTTTAAAATGTCAAATTTAAAATTTGAAATCATGTAAAGTATAATAAAAAGTATATGATTTTTCAACTTTTAATTTTTTTTTTGTATACTTACATAGTTTTGTAATAATTAATTGGTAAATTTTTAAGTATTATTATTTTTTAATAATAATTAAATTAATTATACATATATGTATATATATATATATATATATATATATATATTAATAGTGCCATCAAATGAAAGTTAGCATTACTTAGAAGTGTACCATTTTATTATTTTTATTATTTTTATTAAAAAATTCACTTTAAGTAAAATAAGTGGTTTGTTACCAATACTAATATACATATAATTATATAACTTTAAGATCTATATAAATAAACAATAATCGATTTAGGATACGTAATCTTTGTATTTCATTCCATATTATTTAATAATTCAATTTCCAACTTGATTAAATTTCTAAAAAAATGATTATTTTAAAACATACAAATGTAATTATAAAAATATTTTTAGATGGAAAATATAATCTATTTATTATATTTTTTAATATAATAAATTGGATTTGTACTCTTTGGTTTAAATTGTGGCAATTAGATTTAAGCTACTATATCTATGATTTTAAAATAATATGATATTGAGATATAATTAATTCAAGTTGGTTTTTGAAATATAAAATTATCTTGGAGCAAGTGATAATAGTTTTAGTTTTTTACTTTTTTGTCTCAGTTTTTTGTTAGGAGTTATTAATGCTTTAAATCTGAAAAATTGAAGTTAACAGAGGTAAACCTACAATGTTGTCGAAAAATTTGAAATATTTTGTTCCAAAGTTTGTATTAAGTTTTTTTTTTTTTTTTTTTTTTTTTTATTTTTTTATTTGAAAATATTATTATAGTAAGATCACAATAAATTTTAAAAATAATTTTAAAAATTATTATTTACAAGTTAATTATAAAATATTTCTAATTTACTTCATTCTTTTTTTAATATTATTAGTTGATGCATTGTTATTTTTATTTATAGTGCTAATATTATAATATAATCTTAGTATTTTCTATGGTTATTAGATTTTTCTTAAATATATTTTTAAAATATTATTTCTTATAAATTTTTTTAAAAAATAAACATTTTTTTTTGTACGAAGGTTTTAAGTGTGTTTTTAGATAAAATATTTTTCAATAATTCTTATAAAAAAAATTAAATATTACATGTCTAATTTGATTTTTTTTCTTAAAATAAATATAAAAATTCAAATTAAAATAAAATAGTTGAATTTTTTTATATAATTAACATTATTTTATTTTTATATTATTTTATTTTCTTCAAAATCAATTATTACATAAAAATTCAGTTTGTATACATCAAATAATTTTTAGATAACGTATAAAGTATTATTGTAGATTATATATGTATTTTCCAATAAGTGATGGTAATAAGACCTTATAATTATTTTCTTATTTAGATTATTGTAAAGATTACTATAAATTTATACATATTTATTAGTTGTTTAAGCTTTGGTACAAAAAGTTTACAACTTTAAATCTGCACGATGGAAAAAAATCCTATACAAAATATTATTAAGATGGTCGTGTAAAATATTTTACTAATATTTTCAAAAATATAAGCCAAGAATAAGAAGTTTTAATAGTTAAATATATAACTTCTCTTCTAAAAATGTATTAAAAATCTATTGGTAATAATAAATAATTATGAAAGGATTCCTTAAAGAAATTTAAAATTTAAAACTATTAATTTAATTTAAAAATATTTTATATTTTATTAATCATAATTACATAATGTAATTTTTAAAAAATCAATTAAAAGACAAATTGAATATTATATATATTATATATATTCATTATATTAATATCTATATATTTTTAAATATAATAAATATAAATATATATGTATGAATGTATTTATATATATATATATATATATATATATATATTCTAAAAAAACTTGAATATACTCAATGCTTAGATTAGAAAAATTAGTGCATAGCATTCTAGGACCTTAGACAGTGAATTTGGACAATAAATGAAGTGTTATCTTAGTTACTAAACAAAGTGTTACAATATGTTAATTGCTAAGCTAGTTTGTATAATTATTCTATATAAAGAGTAGTTAAAATTCCACCTTACGGATTTTTTTTGTTTATCACCTAACATATTCTATGTCATCATGATTTTTCTTTTTTTTTTTTTTTTTTTTTTTTTTTGCCCAGGTATAGTTTGAAAATTTATTCTATTTTTATTAAGGAAGTTTGATCGAATTTCTAATTAAACTTATTTCTTATCTTCAGTTTCTCCATAAAATAAAGTATTATTGTGTTGCTTCTATATTATCCACAAGCATATACCAAGTAATAGAGGCCACATTGGTTTCAACATATAGAATTTAGAGAGAATAATCTTTATTAAAATAGCTTAATTTTGTGAGAATATTGGGAATTTTTGGCTTAGGGATAATCCCAATATTTGTGTAAAATTAATTTAGAGCATTCTAAATCATAGAGTTGGCATGGTGGAGAAGTATCTTTGCATGCTTGAGTTCTCCATACATTGACCATTGGTTGTCTATGATAAATGAGCCAAATTGGCATTGCTTCTTTGCAAGTTTTTGGTATAAATCAAATATTATTTTATTTAAATATGTAGTTATTATCAAGAATATCTCTCAATTTGGAAGTAATTAGGTTTCAAAGCTCTTATTGTTTTTGAATGGGTTGCCTACCAAACTTTGTAGTATATGCCATGAAATCAATGCTCTCTTGGTAGTAATATGTTTGGAGGTCAAAGATTTGTCCTTCAATTGTGTCATAAAATAAGTACAAATATAATACTTAAAATATAACATGCAACATGTATAGATACAAAGACACTCAAATTACCACAAGCCATATGCTTTTTGACACACTTGTAATCCAACTTGCATCTACTTAATTATTATTCTCTTACTATGTTGATAGAACTTCCTACTTCTCATGTAGCTAGTTAATTCCTTAAATGTTGTCATTATTAAAAAAAACCAATATTCCAAAACTCGTTAACAAACTAGTTAACTCCATTTACTCTCTTTCAATACAATTTCTCAAAAAAATCATTAAAAAAATTAAAACTAAATAGTCATATTGCTTGTTAATAAAAATAGAATCACTAAAAAGCTTCAAATGTTACACAAAATACCAACATTTCTCACATGAGCTCTGATATAAAGAAAAAAGAAAAATATTAAACAAATCAATACTCAATACTTCCATTAGCCGCATGATTACTCGGGTGTATTTGTTTATTTAAACCAGCTTTAAAATTACAGATGCACATCAACATGATTCATACATAAATGTGAAACGGCATACTTAGATTAGAACTGGACCAGCATTCTTGAAACTTGAACTTTCACCCTTGACAGGATTTAAGTTCCTAAACTCCAAATATAGTAACAACTTAACTATGACAAGATCTAATCCAAATGCAAATGTCTGAGGAGATGATAGCAAGATGGCAAAGTACATTAGTTCTGCACCATTAGCAAATGATCTGAACAAAGTGCTCATTCACGGAGCTTCTCTACGTTAAAATGTGAATGTTACAAATTGCCCAGCGGTTACTCTTTGGATCATGGCCACAATTGGTGTCAGGGGTGGGTTCTCCTCAACCAAGAAGACTAAACCCTAACATCCACCCCTCACATCATGAAGTTGGTCAGGTTGCAGGTATAAATATCAATACGCTGTCTGCAAGGGCAAAACAATGCCAAGGCCAAGTAGAGAACGATGTGTGTTTTAGCTCCCTACTTTTCAATTGCTAACGTTGTTGGTAACCAAATCTGCATAGATATAAGGTCCAATGTTTGTTTTCAGGAGGCTTTAGCACCCAGTACACATTCATAGCGTACTGGATTCCACGAAGCACTGGATGCTAGATTGCATTGCATGTGTAGCCTCACCGTCAACTTTGACTATTTCCTCTAACCAACACGTATGATCAACCTTACGATTGTGGGTAGGGCCTGCGCGGAGAATTGGTGCCTTGCTTTCGCCAAGTCGATTTTCCTTTCACCTTTTTTGACTGCATACAAATTTCAAGCACAAATTAATGAAAAAAGTAGTTCGAATTAAATGAAAATGCTCCCTGATCATATAGTCATGCATAAATTAGCATTCCCCAAGTGGATGCTATACAGTTTTAGTCGACTTTAAATGTGTAAGAATGAAAGCAAGAGTAGAATATACCCCCATGTCTGAAGTGCTTTCAAATGTATGTTGCGCAGAAGCTGTAGATGCCTTGACACTAGAGTTGGTCTTTGGCACGAGCCTGTCCTGCCGGAACGAAGTCTCAGTGCGAGAAAGCTCCTTTTGCAAGGATACAATCGTCTCATCCTTCATTGCTAGTTCTGCCCTTAATTCCTCAACATATGATGTTAACTGTCGGACTGCCTGCTTCATTCAAATTAATCTCATCACCAACCGATAAAAAGAAAAATTGTGGAATTTATAACCTTCTAAATCAAGGACAGAGCTCAAAATCAACCTCGAGCCAAAAATAGAAAAGGATTGGCATACCTCCTAAGGCTTAACATTCAATGGTTACCACCAAAAAATTAGAAGATTCACCTTCTCAAATCAAAGTAGATCCCTGGGTTTGTGTGGCACTTCAACCCAAATCATAATAAGTGCTTCCTTACAGATCTAATAAAAAAGACATTGAAGGCACTTGGGAAAGAACGAACCTCGCGGTTTTCAGCGGCATCAGCTAAAACCTCCACGCTACGATCCACCTCATCCCTCATTAACCTTAAAGCATCATCTCGTGCTCCCACTCCACCACGAAGCATGTCGATCTCAAGTTTTAGACTTTCCAATTTTTTCTCCATCTGTCGTAATGCCTGGCGAAAGGGACAAGGATGCAGCAAGGTAAGTTATTATCACATGTGCCAAGTCCTTGAATGCTTCACAAATTCTTGCCACTAATTAGTTATGAACGTACTAAAATATATTGTAATCTTAATTCCGAGTTCTTATCATGTAGCATAATAAAAAGTCAGGTTCATCAACAAAGAAACATTACGGAACATTGATATGAAAGTAAGAGGTTTGGAGCCACCTGCTCAGCATGAATAGCTCTATGATTCTCAGCCAACTCCTGCCGAAGTTCCTTGACAAGACTTCTCTCGATCTCTAAGTCTTGAGTCAGTTCTATTTCTTTCTGTTTGCTAATATTTAATTCCTGCAGACGTCAGAAGAGGCAACACGCTAAATAAATCAATATCAAAGACGTCGATAATGACAAATTTGAGTCCTGTAAATTAAGCCAAATCTTTTTATGTTCTCAGCTATGCATTCTTGAACTGTAACTAAACTACACAACAAATTCATTATGATACATCTGTAGATCAAATAAATGACATAATTGAAGGTGCATACAGAGCGCATCCCGAAACTATTAGTGCAAAATATGCGCATCCTAAGTGTTTCAACTCTTAAAAAGTAATGCACTTTCCAATAATATTACCTGCTTGATGTGCGAAGCCAACTTTAACGCGTCTGTGCTACGAACCATCTCATCTCTGACCTCTCTTAAGAGCAAGTCTCTTGAACGAACTTCCTCCTCCAATATTTCCACTTGAGCAGTAAAAAGTTCCACTTTCTTCTCTGCGTTTGCTAAACCCTGTACAAGAATCATGACTCAGTCTACTAGATCAACCTACATGTCAACATAAAACTAATGCCTAAGCAGTAGAGGAGACAAGATATATATGAGACGAATAACAAGAGGACGGGCTTTAAGGACTAGACCCAACTATGAATAAGCACAAAATTTCAGGCAATTGAATTCTCAAATTTGTTCCAGCCAAGATTGAATGCATCAAATCTTCCCGTAACAAACCCATTCCTGACAGGTGAGAAAACAGAACTTTGATCAGGTACTAGCATCCTAAAGAGTAGAATTCATGCTGCTACTCAAGAGGTAAAAGAAAGTCTGTCCTACTTCTCGAGTCTTGGCAGCAGCAAGAAGCATATTAGCATTACGACGATTTTCATCACGCATGGACTGTATAATTCTCTCCTTAGTGTCCAGCAAGCCCTGCACGCAATACAACTTGGGTTCAATTTCATGTTATATTAAGGTACATAATTATGATTTCACCTGGACCCGCAAATAAAATGGTCATTCATGCATTTAACACATTTCTTAAGACGCGCACCTTCAATGAATCCATATCCGCGAGGTTTTCTTGAATTTGTGATCCAATCTCTACTTGTTTCTCAAGTTCTCGAATACGTGCTTCCGCATCTGATAGAGCCTACATGAGAAGATATTTCGAGCTCTATAGTGAGACCAAAAGTTTAATAACATGTTGCACATGCAAATTAAACATACATAAAGTTAGCAGTAGATAGGTTATCTCAGAAATCATTATATGCTAATTAAATACACGGATCTCACTAGTAACTGAATAATCCATATATGTTAAAAAGGTATTCAAAAAATGAGTTTTTCTAAAAGCATACCAGCAACGAGGAAGAGAAGAGATCAAGTGCTCGTTGAGTAGCTTCTTTCTCCTGTTGCAGAAAGCCAGTAGTCGTATCTAGTTGCTCTTGCAAGTAGGTTATCTTGCCTTTTGCTGTTATCATGGCCTGTGTTACATAACGCGTAGTTTTTTTCATCCAACGAACTCTTTATGCATACCCAGTAACATGATCCTAGCGCATAACTAAAATATAGGAAACAGAAAAGCCAAAACAAGACTTAACACATCCTAGCAGCATATAATCACAACGAACCCCACGATAATAATAAATGATTTACCAAAGCCTTTGAGTATTACTTGAGTTGCAGTCTTTAAAGTTTGGGAAGCTTCAACTGCCTCTTGCCGCATCATTTCGAGAAGCTTATCCCGAACAACTATCTCCTCTTGCATCTGTTCTAACTCCAGAGACTGCATTCATGAAGTTGAGTACAACAATCAATCGCGGCTTCTCAAAAGTGTACACCAACTTCAACACCTTTGCGCCCACAGCCCTATCAGATAACGCAAGTTTCTTCGCGTATAAATTTACATCAGTCAGAGTTATAACGGACCTAAAACCAACCGTTCAGTCGGAGGACCTTCGACAGGTAATTCAGATGCAACATAATGACAAATGCCACCCAGGACACAAGCTTAATACTGGATCTGCTTCGAAAATGTTTAAAGCTCCTGACCTGTGAACTTGTTTCGCTCCATGCTTGTTCCCACCCCTCAGTAACATTCGGGACGTCCTGTATACCATTAACTGGGAATTTTCAGCTGATAAAGAAAGATTGAATTGTTTCATGATCAGCTTAACGAAGAGCTTCCTTGGCAGCTTATACTGCAGACCTCAGCCCTAAAATCAAAAACCTTTATTCGTGGCACACTTAAAAGTAATAACCAGCTTCATCAGTCGAATTAAGAGCTCAATGAAGCATAAATGTCATGCAAAGCGTAAGAAAATACGTTAAAGAAGAATCACCCACTCCAGAAAAGGTGATGTCCTCCATTACAGCAGAAGCCTCCAGCTCCTGCACGGTACAACAGAATAGTAAGTGTGCTGTGAGAGATTGTATACGTCGGCCAGCAGACTGTCAAGCAAAGTCAAGCGTGAGATTTTTTCTTTTTTGATCTCCATGGTTGGTCGGTGTTAAAACTTACGCGGTCACACTTATTAAAATTGGGAAGCAAAAAATACCTCAGCGTGCTTGAAAAGATCATCTTCAAGTCCATCCAACGTTTTGTTAACTGCTTCAAGTAACTTGCTGGCCTGCTGATATGCTGAAGCACCAATCCGAGTTTCTGACTGTTCTTTCCCAACTTCAATATACGCCTGATCAGAATCTGTTTCTTCTTCTGGATTACTCTCGTATTGCACTCCATCGCTTATCGATCCATCAACTATTGCGTTCTCGGCAAGCTTGTCGTAAAGTCTGCAATACAACCAGATTTTAGCAGTGACAAAGATAAGTACGACTAGTGTACGAATTTCTACTATATTCCACAAACATCACTCAGCTTTCCAAAAGCCTAAAGCCACTCCCAAAATAAACGGCTTACACAAAGAACCCTAGATCCTTGAACACTAAACCATCCCGTACTACGAATTTAGTAACCGCTGATGCCTTGTTGTAACTCTAGCAGGGAACAAGAATCTCCTTGACATTTTCATTCTTCTGTGTATAGTTCTCAAAAGAATTGATTACGAGCACGCCTAAAAAGCAGTGGTATTTCCGTCGCCACGAAGGATGTTTATGTTTCTGCTGCGATTGCTGGAAGTAAAGCATCAGGCTCTTGGCTTCAGTAACAAGCTGACAACCTCACTGTAACTAAAGATATTTCAGTTGCTGGGTCACAAATGCAGCAAAACGTTTCTCACGAGAGCATCCTTGAGCGAGACTTGGAACTTTTGCAACACACAGTGATAACCAATTGGTGATTATATTAAATTACAAATTCTAGTAAACATGCCGCTCCGCCTTTGATGGGTCTGAAGACTCGGGTACCATAAAAACACCTGCCAACGTTCGAACTTCGCAGTCCCTGGCACTTAACTACCCAAGAATTTTCAGCAAAGAAACGCTGATGATAGAGCCAAGGGAAAAAAATAAAAGTAAAAATTCAGTCGTACTCATTGGATGCTTCATATTCACTTTGCAATTTGAGTTGCAGCTCTTGACGCGATCCGACGGAGCCATCGTTCTCCGGGCTGTCAGGAAATAGTAACGCCAGAGTACTAAATTCGTTGGCGCTTGCACTCCCATTCATAACAAGCTCCGACCTCGTATCATCAAAAGCTCCTATTCTGTCCAAATCCCCTCTTTGTCGAGATCCCCTCCGACTCGACCAGCAGCACTTCTTCCTTCCAAAATATCGGCCACGAAACGGATGGCACTTGCTAATCAGTGAACCCAAGGCTGCGTTTGCACATTGTGGAGGCCCCAGAGAGGCCCATCGCACCACATTGGCCATCACAAGCTTCACCCTTAATCACTAGCTTTACCACCACCTAATGATCCCGTATCCACGTATCCTCCACACCAAAATTCATAACTCTCACGTTTAAGTCACAACTTCCAATTCACAAGGGCACGCACCCTTCTCTCGGAACACCTACATTAGAATCATCTACACCGAAACTCTGCAATAAACCCCGTGCAGCACAACATATCTATCCATTCAGGCCAACTCACAGCTACTGGGCCTAAAAAATGCTTCTCTCCGCGACTACGTCACGAAATATGTACCACTACCAACTCTTCCCCCAATCTAGCAATCCTCACCCCCAACCCAAACTTTCTCCATGCAAATTTCCCAAAAATCAGCTCACTACGGAATAAAGAAAACAAAGGAAAAAAGGCGAATAATCACTACCAAACCCTAGATCTCACTCACACTGTCCTCCTCTTTACTTCATCGTCACCGCGACAACAACAACCGCCCTCATTTTCAATTAAACTTCGCACTCAAACCTCCCAATAAAGAACTCACCAAACCCCATCAGTTCCTCACATCCAAGCCTTGAAATCTCAAATAAAATGAGCGAGATATAACCTAACTCCCAGACAGCCACTTTCACGCGACAACGACTAGCTATTACACCAAACACCAATACGACCCTCGTGCTTCATAAACATCACCCAGCCAAGAGAGCGACGTCAAACAGCCTCGCGACCTCGACCCACAAAAGGAGGGGCTGCAGAATTGCACAGACGAAAGGTGGACATGAAGCCCAGTGGCATTGGTATTAGAAATTGAGGCAGGGTAGCAGGCAAGGTGGTGAGAGACAAAGCGAGAGAGCGAGAGAGAGAGCTGAATTGAATTGCGGAGGCCAGTGTGGGGAGGGTGATGGGGGATTGGGGCTTGTGATCCTGGTTCGACGACGAGAAAAAAGGGCGCTGCTGTTGAGACTACGAGACTACGAGACGCTAGGGGTGAGCGAGGCGTCTCCACCTGGCTGCAACACACTGGCCATCATAAAAATACTCTTCTTAGTTGTTGCTTTTGGCGTCAACATCACTGTGGATCAGGCCCCACTTTCCACTCCCACGGACTCTTGCGGTTAGTTATAAGATCATGCTTGCTGACTCCACTTCTCTGTCTTTTCTGAAGGTGGGTTTTCTTACATATATTGTTTCTGCTCTCCGTGTTTCTATGCTTGCACCGAGCTCTCCAATTCATCTCCACATGCTTGTAGAACCCTCTTTCTGACACATTTACAACAAAATTGTGATCGTGTATCACTACTATTTCATCGCTTGGTTTTGTCGTTCTCGTGAGTGCGGAATATTTCTTCCAATGCCGAGTGGCATTAGCATTGCGAGAAACGGGTCTGTGATGCGATGAAAATGTCGCTGTAAAGGCTTTTCTTCTCATCAGAAGCAAATATGCTTCTGATGATTTCCTTTTCTCAAATCTTTAGGATATTTTTATAAGGTACCCAAATCTGGTTTTCTGTACATTAAAGGAAGCAGGAATATCTATCCCTCTCTCTCTCTCTCTATATATATATATATACATACTGAGACACGGGCATTGTCTATAAAGACAAACGATTCTGTTGTTGTTTTTATTTTATTTTATTTTCCTGATCATGATTCCTGACGCATGGAGCTAAGCACTTCGAAACGGCGTTTGCCCAACTTTCAAGTCATTAGAATACTAAACTCAAGAGTTGTCAAGCACAAGCAGCACCATCAGTTGCAGTCACCTTTGCAGTCAGATCGTGTCAGTTTCCCCGGAAGTCATAAGTCAGGGATTCCAGCTCTAGAATAGTTTCCAGTGTTTAGTTAAGGTGTGTTGTTTTGAGAATTGTGGGAATTTTAGTATCTGAGGAATTTGCTGTTTGTTCACTGAGGTCACACAAACCCTTTAGCTTACGTTGGATTTGCATTCTCATGTTTGCCTTTGTACCAACCTCCATTGCAAGGTTATCATATGTCAAAGCTCTTTTCCAACTTAAAATCCATGTCAAAAAGTTTATTGCTATTATTTTTTTTGATGATTCTTTTTCTATACTCAAAAACAATATAAGTATCTGAAATATGGTATATCTAGATTTATCTAGTTTTTTTTATGTTGTCATTTATTTTATTCTTAAAATCAACAAACTACACTTGGTTAAATTGATACAAGACCTTAGTTGTTTTGTTTATATTAATAAAATTACATAATCAATCTTATACCTTGAAAAAAGATTATTTAAAAGTTTTTTTTATGCAAAATATTTAATTAATCAAAGAATAATGAGATTGGAAATAAATTTTAACAAAGTCAAAGAATTTGAAATTGAGTATATTGATTATTTTAAATAAAGAAATAAAGATAAATATATTAAATTATAAATAACAATTATTATTCTTTTAATTTTTTCTTACATATTTAATTCAATTTTAACTTCATCTTATCTTATGTAGAATGGTAAGAAAATATAAAAACTATGGTTTTTTTTATTATCATTATTCTCTATTATTACATATATCAATTCATGCACCTTCTATGAAAATGAAAATGACAAACTTGGTCAATAAATAAAAATAAAAAATCCTACCACAATGTAATAATTTTTAAACTTTGTAATATTAAAATAATATATTTTTGTATAAATTAAAATAAATAATATTCTTAATAAATTTATTAAATATTTAAGAAATTTTAAAATAAATAAATATTTAATTATAAATCTTATTATCATAATAAAAAATCTACACATTTATGTGCTTCTATATATAACATAAATAAAATAGAATATTAAACAAACCTTAGTTTTTATTAAATCAACCTACTATGATAAAGAATATAGTAATCATGATGAATATGATTGGTTTTTGTTGGTTTTGGATTTAATAGTGGATAAATAAATCTACATGTCATTTTTTTTCTTCTCATAATAGTTAGGATAGATATATAAATTTAGTAAAATCTTAGATCTATTTTACATTTTCCTAAATAAAATAGATATAATCATGTCCATAAGTAATATTACTTTCAAAAGGACTAGTTTGTACTAAGAAAAAAAATGCTTTTAAAATATTATAAATATTTTTACAACATAATTTATGACATGTTTTTTATTAAACATTTGATAGCATCTTCTACAACAAAAAGTATTTCATGCAATATATCTATATAATTTATTTTTATTTTTATTTTTTATCAAATTTAGTTTTTATTTTTATTTTATTTTTTTTATCAAATTTAGTTTTTATTTTTATTTTTAAAATTTCTTTTATTGAAAACTTAATTTTTTATTTCTTATCACGGATATATATATATATATATATATATAAATATTCTTATAAATACCTCTATGATTAGGTAGAAGTAAGTAAAAGTAGATAAAAGTAGATTAATTTCATAATATCTTTTTGAGAAGCTTCTTAAAAGGTTCATAGATGCTGCTTTGACTTTAAATATATTTGTAGTTGATTAATAGCTTAGAAACTTGGTCAATAAATTAACCATGTATTGGTAGCTTGTGGAACAAGCTAACTATGTGGCGCAAACATAAAAAACTTGCCTTACAAGTTAAGATATGTGTCTTGTAAAGTCAACACATTTTAGAAGTCTTATAGGACTTCGCCATATATCTCCGAGTTAAGAATATTTATGGAGGCAAGAATGAAGCCTTCTTCATTCTTATCAATGCCTTTTAGGTCTTTAATCTTATTTTAAGATTCTCCAATCTTCTTGTCTTTAGCAATAGCCATTCTAGTTTAATAATATATCATCTTTGAGTGACTTTCTAGTTCTTTTCAATGTCATAAGAGTGTATTGATGATTTCTTTCTTTGAAATTCATGTCCTTGATAGTTTGATAAGGATACTAACTTACTATTTCTACCTTATTTTAAAAGTGAATGGATTGCCCTACTTCTATTGTTGTATTTTGAAGGTTACAAACTACCTATTTTTAAATAAAAAAAAATCTTATTCTCTAACATTGATCTTTTCTTCAAAGAAAGTAGATTATCTTTCTTTGTAAAAAAATTCATTTAATATGAGAGGTTGCAAATTACCCTCCCTTAATTTAACTTTTTAAATTTGTTTGAATTGTCTGTACAAAGAAAGAATATGGATGCTACACTTAATAGAAAAAAAAAAGATTTGCAACTATTGTAGATCTTTATGAATTTCTCTACACTTTAAGAATGAAAATCTCAAGTATTTTCAATGTGAATCATAGAGGTACTATATCTATGTCTATACTTATAAAAGAAGTTCAAAGTATGCAACAAGAAGTTGTACAATTGAAGGAATCAAGTAAATCGACCTTACAACAATATCTTGTGAATTTTGCTTCTACAAGTATGATGGGAATAAGGATTAGTATGCTTGAGAAGTTTGATAGAATAAGATCAAAATTTCAAGGATTTTTGCAAGAAGTCAAGCTCTATTTAAGGTTGCATTCTTTCCAATACATAGATGGATTTATTCAAGTTGAATTTATAGGCACACTTCTATCAAGAAGTACTCTCTCTTAGTTTGTACCTTCAATGAAAAAACATTTGTAACTTTTTTATGATTTGAATTCATTCCTAAAAGTGTTTACGGCCACATTTAAAGAAAATGATTGAAAAAAAGTAGCAAAGACCAAGCTCTTAATTTTATGACACTGTGTCATGATATAATACGGTTATATAGTGAAATTATAATCAAAATTGAATTTCTAATTAATATCTAATTATCTTAGTTCAATTATAATTTGAAGTGTCTAAACATGACTTTTATAAAAGCCTCTTAGATTATTTTCTTATCTTAATAGTTAGTAAGTTGAAAGTTAGTTAATAATTTTACTTTCTAGGTTGTAGAGATTCTTCTATTACCTTAGAAAGACCATAAATTGATAAAATCAGGTTAGAAAAGATAAATAATTAATATAGTTGATACTAGGATTAAGTTGAGAGTAGGGTTGGGCTAAAAACTCCTTAGGATAGGTTAGATTGATACCCGGGGGTTGGCCATTTGTGAGACAGGGTCGAAATCAGACCTATGGCCACAAAAACGACGGCCTAGGGCAAAATAGGGATTCATTCGAAGATCGAAGAATAAGATTTGAGAGCTGGCTTGAAGTTCTTTCTAGAAGCATAAGGATTGTTTTTGGAAGGTTTTTGAGGACTTAGCAATTGTTGTTCAAAGTCACGCTTTGTATTGGTGATTTGGGTTTTATATAATATAATTAGGACTAGCAATTTTGGCTAGTTCGTGTAATTGGTGTAGCATCTATAGTTGAAAAATTGATATTATTTGAAATATTGGGTGTGTTAAGTGTATACAAAATTTTATAATAATCTAATAATGTGGTTTAGAGATATCTAGTTTTTAGCACAAGAGGGTTTCAAAAGTTGGTAGATTGAGGTTGGATAGGGTTTTTGTGATATTTAGAGATCTATCAATTGGATCAAGCTGAAATTTGGCATGGTGTTGAAGGACTTGAAGATCAAGTTGCACACCAATTTTGAGTCAAAGTTAACGGTTGGAAAGAGAGAAATCACTACTGGGATTTCTGCTTTAGTTTTCAAGTTAGCAGCCAAGTGACATCAGTGCACTTTTTGGAGGTTTTTTTCACAATTTGTAAGTTGGATTGGGCTAAAAATTCTTGAGCATATAGAAGACTTATATTGACAATTGCATATAAAATTTTACATCAAGTGGATGATCGGATTGGATATTACATCTTATTAAAGCTCATTGATTAGGATTGGGACTTACAAGAAAAATCTAAATTGCATAAATATGAAAGTAATAAGGTAATTGGGATTTATTTATGATTAAGGCTACTAAGAAGAGTATTTTTAGTACTTTTGAATTGAATGTCAGATTATGTTCTTCTTGTATGGGTGATTCCTATTAGGGTTTCTTAGATATTTGTGAAACAC